CCAGGCTTCCTGCCCAGATACTTCTGGTCAACCACAAACATAGCCAGATTGCTCTTAGCTTGCTTGATGTGCTAAAGGCAGCTATGTGCCTTCTAGCATGGTGCGACGTTAGTCATTCACCTCTGCAGCTGGGCTGGAGTGGCTTACAGCTCCTTCCCTTCTCAGCAGTGCACTGACATTTATGTCTGGTTGGTATAATTTTAGTGCAAAAGATGTGGTCTGGTTTTGCCTTCCACCCTGTAGCTGTTAAGCGGGGGGGGGGGGGGGTGGGGAAGACAAAGGTAAGTGTTGATCTTGTGAAGAAAATACAAGCTTTATTAAGCTGATTATAAAGAACGTTTACTACTCACCTCTTCACTTAAATGGAAAACTTGGTGGGTCTGCTAGAGCCCTAGGTTTAAATCAGAGTAGGTGGACGCTGTTGACTACAACTGACCTGAACTGGGAGGTGAATAATAAATTGGTTGTGGGACTGCACAGAGGGAAGAACTGGTTAAGGGAGCCAAGGGTTGCCTTGGGGAGCTGTGCTGTGTCTCTGCCTGTGCTAGGGGGTTCCTTGGTGATGTTAGTCTCGTGATTTAGAGCCATCTTCCCATGGATGTCTCTGCTAGTGAGATATCCCTCGTTTCTGGGGTGTTAGCATGAAATGGGGCTGTGACTAAGGAGAGTACCTGCTCATACTGGCACATCAGTCCTCGTTCTTGCTCCAACTGCCTCTTCTGCTTCTCTCAGAGACTTCTGATCTTCTGCAAAGACAATTTTACTGTTTTTGTAGCAAGTGCTGAATCACAACAGCTCACTTTGCAGTGTATTAAGGGTAAATCAGTACTGGTTTGGTTTGCTTCTGAAATAGAGCTTTTCAATTGCAGTGGTTCACAGGCAGAAAAGCCCATGAGGAAATGGAATAATAGATAGCTAAACAAGTTCCCCCTAGGTATCCTAGGATGGACAACAGTCTGTGTGTGGCTACTTGTAATATGTCACGGAAAGTCCATGGGCAGCGAGGTGGAAATGCTTTCAAAATTTATTCCTAAATATGTTTGTGCTTACTCGTAGTACCTGTTAAAATAGTACAGAGGGATAATAGTTCTACTGATACGTTATATGCAGTTTGCTGCCAACCTTAATACGTGGTCTGATATATCCCTCTGGTCATCTTTACAGATCTAAGAATCAAAATCAGAGACCACCGAGTATTTTAAAGAGATGCAAAGACATGAATGAAGACAGAGAATTGGAGATGGTGACCTGCTGATAGTTAGCAAGTAAGAAGCTGAAAACTGCTAATCGAGTTCAATGAGCAGTCATGTACTTTTTTTAATAGCGTGATAATATGCAATATAAGGAACCATGGCCCCATAGCTGACAGCTGTGATGACACTGGCCAGAAAGCGGCAGGCAGGGGAATTTTTGTAATGTGTCCGTTAACTTGCTTTCTCTGTATGTACAACATACAGAGCTCCAAAAAGGGGAAAGTATTATGCAGGCAGTAATATGACACTTAACGTTAGTTTTGTGACACCTGGACGCGTGCCAGTTGAGCAGAGTCCCACGGTGCAACGTGAACTTGGGCCAGCAAAGTGCCGATAGGTGATTCGACATGAAGAGTGCAGAGGAGGAGTTATTTACCCTCTGAATTTGGCATTGGGGCGAAAAGAAGTCAAACAGAAGTCAAAAATAGGTAGCCCCCAGTGTGCAATGGGTTTTATGCAGTATTCAGGAGGATAATTACAACTGAATGTTGTAATTTTTTTTTCCAGATGTTGATTTCCAGTTCAAATGAAGGATACTTAGAAAAGCCATTGCTCCCTCCAGTTCCTTCACTACGTTCATCAGTAGGGCATCAGCAGGGCTTTGGCTCATATATCTCATTGCAGGCCAGGGTCTTAATGTAGTGTTGGACAGGGGAGCATTAATAATGCCAGTAGTTAATAATGGCCAAATATATTTTGCCTTGCTTAGGGTAGTATTTTGCTCTACGCTTATCCTGTATTGGGATTCCACATGGTTTCTGTAGTGAGAAAGTTGTTGCACGTGTGTTCATCCCATTGAAATACTTTTTGATTTTAAGTATGTGTAGTTGCTCCTGCGTCACAGCATTGACCTCTGTAGGTTCTCATAGCAGTAGAGCTAACAATAAATACTTAATGCATGGGTTGAGAAATAGTCATTTCGTTTGAAAGAGTAGCCTAGTTTACAGAGAGTAAAATAAAGACCAATGCTTTTGCTAGGTTTTCTGTTCCATGTTGACCACTGTACATTTGATTCTTAGTGTATCACAGAATGTCACATTCAACTGCTGTGCTAGGGAAAACGCATTCTGAAGGAAATGCTTACCGTGGGTAATCTGTGGCCTTGTGTGGGAAACAACAACAGACTGTATGCAAACAGATTTTTAACCTTTTTCCTGCAAAAGCGTTTAGAAGAACTGGAGCAGAAGGAGAAGGTCACGGACTTGCACAGTACGAAGAATGAGGGAAGTCTGAGAACCGATGTGTATTGGGAAAAAAATATTATGACTCCTTCTTTAAGTGACCTTTGTGCAAGACCCTCTTGGAGGCAGTGAGGGTGGGCTTTGTCTCTCTGTCCTCAGCCAGCTGAAGGAGACATGTCTTGGCTAAGTCTATTGTTTGGCCTCCTGCAGTTGCTTCTGGTGGGGGAGAGATGTCTCCAGTCTTCACCTGGCAGAGAACAGGAAGATTTGCCCTGTGGAGGAGCCTCTCTCCGTTGACTGAGGAGGAAGTGCCTACAGCCTGATACCTACAATCGAGAGGACTAATATTAGGGCAGATGGGTCCCGTCCCTTCTTGCTTTAAGCACTGCATTTTGGAGTGGACTTGATCTCGGCAGTGCTGACTCTCTGTAACGTCAAAGACAACGGTAAGAGTCTTTGGAAGGACACATTTGGGTGTAAGTGCTCCTGCCTCTCTGATGTTGTAGTAGACTGGCCTTTACCTTTGTGGTGAAAGATGGTATCATTTGAATCAGGTGATAAGTAGTGGTTCACGAGATATGTCAGCTGTGGAGCTTGATCTTGCCGTCAGTTACTGCATGAGCTGCTTGGACTTTCTTTTCTGAAGTTACAGACTTTGGAATTGAATGAAATAACACACCTCGTCTTTTGTTTGACTGCAGAGAGGGGTAGGGGAGAAGGAACTTTTTTTTTAGTTTCTTTAGTTAGCAGGATTTCCTGCAAGCTCTGGTCAGGGTGCTTCAAATCTGTAAATATCTAAGGCAAAGTATGGTTTGTTTAGCACAAAATCACAGAGTCAGAAACTATTCTTCAGACCATTAGCAGTCTTTATACCTCGCTTCCCAAGAGCCAGCCGTAGGAGGAGGAAGATCTTGAGACCCTCTCTCCGTTCCCCAAGTCATCTATGCCTTCATTTTCTCCTGAGCAGGTTTTGTAACCATGCGTAGCCCTTTGATCTGTTCCCAGAACGACTTGAGTCACACTGACCTGGCACCCTTATCTTCTAACTATTTTAATCTTCCTTCCTTATGTTGGTTAATTGGGTGTAGATATTGCGTTGCTTTCCTGATGGTTTCTTCTGTAGACACAGTAAGTTAGATCCCTACCTTCGAATAGAAAATTCAACAGCTCTCGTCATTATACGGTGACAAGATTTAGATTTTTGTGATAGTGGCAGTTTAGGTGGAGTATTGCCTGACAGCCTGGGTTACAAGAACGTGGCAGTATTTACTGTCCGTGATGTAGACCAAAACTCCAGTGTATTGTGCAAATTCAGAGTGAAATGACTGCACCTAGCGTCGAGAACAAGTGGGAAACAGATTCAAAGAATGCTAGTGGGGACGGAGTGACGTTCATAGGTTTTGTAAACCGTTTTTCAGAATGCTTTACGAGTTAGGGCTTTGTTAGTGAAAACCTCTAGCTCAAATCAGACCAGCAAGAGGCTACAGGACAAGATAATAATCAAAATAGGTGGTCAGAGAAGACGTAGAAGGAATTAACTGTTCACCTGCATGGTTAGAACCGACCGTAGGACAAGGTCGGGCTGGTTTAGGTAACACAGGATATTAAAATGAGGCTAAACGCTGGATTTGTCTGCCTAGAACGGGTTGGTAAGTCTATCTGCTTTGTGTTGCTGTACTAATGCAGCTGCGTGTGAGCGATAAGGCTGGCTCTGCGATACGGCAGAGTTCCCCTGGCTCTGGGGTCATGTTCATGCTGCAAGCACAGCAAGACCCTCACTTCTTCAACGCATAGTGCCTGGGGTGTCAGTGAGGCCTCCCCTGCTAGGCTGGACGCATCTTCTTCTTTCTTCCTGTCTCAGAATTCATAGGGATTTCAATATTAAGACTTTTCTGTTATATTTCTTACTTTATATTACATATATAATTCTGTTGTTCAATATTTGCATGCTATTGTTTAGATACATTTATTTATTCCCTAATTAATTTTTTTCCAGTAAAGTAGTGCAGAGAACTGAATTTGGAAGAACTTTTTTGTTTCTCTCTGCAGTTGGTTCCTTGAACTTCACTAGTTTCCCAGTTATTTGCAAAGGAGGAGATGAGCAAAGAGCTTGCTTTCATCCTTTTCTTCAGGTTCCTGTCAGCCCCTTGGCCAGGATACCTGAGCATCTCCAGAGTATTTCGCCCACCTCCAAGATGCCACGGGGTGGGGGTGGGGGGACGGGGGGGGACGGAAAGGGGAGGCTTTACTAGTCCCATCTTACAAGTCCCTAGGAAAGCTAGTTTTAAATACATGGTTTTAGGCTATGGTAAACTTGAAGCTGAACTCAGGCATCCTAAAGGTCAGGCTCGTATGTGAAGCAGGGAGCCTGCCTCTTACCTTACCCAAGACTCCCTCTAACCATCGTTTATATTTTCACTCTGGGTTTTTAGCTTTTCAGAGGCTAGGAACAGAAGAAAGTAATAGACGTGAGTAAGATGAGCTGGAAGTGTTGTTTTATTTTTTCTCAGTTCTTGGTCTGCGAGTGTGATAAGGAAGTATTTACATTAAATACAGAGCTGAAAAAACACAAATCTCATTCTTGTCATATCAGCATGCCCTAAGTCGGTATGCTAAAAATCCTGCTTAACCAAAGCAAGTGGCACAGATATTTTCACTGCTCAGTCGTTGCTTCCAGGAAAGAAAGAGAATCCCACTTTCCTTGCTCAGGGAAAACTCCTGCCAAAACAAGTGGAAGTGGGGCTAGCAGCTGAACAAGGGTAGCAAGAGGGAAACAGTAAACTTCAGCCACCTGGACTGTAATAACAGTAAGGCCTTTTAGTCAGCATTCACCTTCTTAGTGCAGCCATGTATTATGCTAGATGAAACAGTAAAAACTCCAGGAGATGCATGGCACCACGAAAAGAGGGCGTGTTAAGGGAGGGCTTTTATTTCTAAGCCATTCTGGTGGCAAATTCAACTTTTTGCTGCCTTTTAGAAAGGATCGTTGCATTTCCTGGAGCAAAGGTCCTGCCAATGCCCCTGTTTCTCATTGAGTTAGCACGGATGTGTGGCAGCGTCAGCATCAACCTGTTTCTGCCTGAACCACAGGGCTCTGTCCCTGGGAATAAAGGTGGAATTTGGTATTAGGAACCGGTTTGAGAAACTCGAGCAAGATTTGGAAGGAGCTGTGTTTTAGCATGCGGCTCACAGAGGAGGTGCCTGCTAGCTCTCCACGTCTCTCTGCTCCTTCTGAACTCTCGTCTTTTCAAATTTGACGGGAGAGAGCACGTGAGAAGTGTTAGCAGTGTGGGTAACGTAGGTGACGGGCTTACGCAGTGACGGCTCCCTGAAGACAATCCAGAAGCAACTTATATATGTTGGTTTGGCATGCTGGGCTTGACGTTGGGCTTGACGTTGGGCTTCCCGTTTGCAGATCTAAAGAGAGAAATAGTTCTGCTTTACTCTCGTGTGAAATGAACAGGAAGACGATTATTGTATCGCTGCTGATCAGCTCGTTTTGCCTTGGTTGGCAGCCCTGGGACCTCAAGGAGAAGGCTGCAAAGCGGTGTCAAATCCCCTCCAGGCTAGCGAACTATCTGCCAGCAATCAACTTAGTGACAGCCTGTAGCAGGGCTTTCTTAAGGTACGGTGTTAAGCAAGTGTTAAAATATTTAAAGAAAAAAAAAAAGCAGCTTTTTTTGCTTGCTCCCGATCTCTGCACGTTTCTCTCACATCACAGAGCCTTGCTCCGTAATCGGGAATGCTAGGAGCATCGCCTGCCTTCCTCAGCTCGCGTGTTAAACGCAGCGCTGCCTCCTGAAACCCCGGGGAGAATGGCTGTCCTGCAAGGAGCTCCGGGGGTTTTGCGGTCAGGCAAACTGTTCCCGGTGCGTGAAGCCGCCGCCTTGTCGCCAACCGCTTTCCCGCAGGTTAATTTAAAAGGATGCCTCGCGCACTCCAGCCGTGCTCCCAAAGTGATGGAGACTGCCGGTCTCCAGCAATTGATAGATTTAGGCTGATTTAATGAGTTAAAGATTTGGCACCCATTTTCACTGAAAATTGATTTGTGGAGGAAAACAAGATCCCGCGGTTGCCAGGAAGAGTGCCAGGACAGCTCCTGAGGCACTCTTTCGTTGAGTGACTTGTACTACTAACTTCGAAAGAGCTTCGTTTTAGGGAGGAGGAACCGCTCACGGCAGCCAGGATTTCCTCTCTAAATAAAAGCTGAAAAACGCTACGATTGCTCCAAACATAACTTTGCCGTGGTAGCACGGCCGAAGGAAAGCTGTCTCTTGATAAAATGTTTTCCTGAAGCACTTGCAATCCAACCGCTGCAGCAGTACAGAAACCGAAGAGCTCTGCAGTTCGGCAGCCTGGTCCCCCCCCCGCCCCAGGGAGCGAACGTCTTTGCACAGGGCAAGGATTTAGATAAGGGAAGAATGCAGGCCTTGTCCTAAACAACGCTTCTTCGTTCTAGTTTAGCCCTTGGAAAGTCAGGCAGGGATGAGACGTTTGCTATGCTGGGCCTAGGCAATACCGGTCACAAAAACGACAGGCTGTTCCCTTAGCGTTTCAGACTGGCAAGAAAAAACGCAGGTCGGTGCATGTGACCGCGGTCTTACACGGTGGCAAGGTTCACGCAGTGAGATGGCTCTCAAAAAGCAGGAGGTGTTGCCGCTCGGCCCCTCTTCTATATAGCGTTATTATTCAGGCTATTACTTGATGCTTTCTCTGAGCTTTATGCTTTTTAAAAAAAATTGTAGGGGCCAGTTTTTGTAAACCTAAGGGGAGGGAGGTGTTTCCTGTTAGTAATTTCTTTCTGGGCGGGGAGGGGGTTATATTCATTTGGATAACTAAAACATTATTCATTTCGTACCGTGAAACCTGGTCACATGCAACAAGGAATTGGAATTTAGGCGTGAAAATACCGGACCAAACTTTCTTGCAACTCAGCTTTTCTAAGTGCTAGACCGGTTCTGCAGCTGGGATCTGTGCACTGGAGTGCCACTTTTAATGCGAGCCCTAGGGTGCACTCTCTGCACAAGGCTTGCAAGTGCGCAGAGGTGGTTTTCTGCAGAGCAGGCAACGGCCTGAAGTAAGCAAAGAGACAGGCTGCAGGGAGGTTGGGTTTGCGGACGCAAAACACGAGCCAAAGGGTTTTCTTATTCAGAGATGGAAAATCCCATACTGCAATTGTTCTTATTCCCACGGTATTTTCCTGGTGACTCAGGATGAGTGGGTTGGGGAGGAGAAAGGGAGGGATGGAAAGAGGGGAAAGCAGAAAAAAGGATTGCTGTCTGGCCTAGAAAATCGGTTAGCTCCACAGCCATACATGTCTAATGTACTGTTTCTTGGGAAAGCCTAGGGCTGCATCAGCCTCTCTGACCCTGCAAGCAAGAAACTCTGTTACTTAGTGCCCGGCGGGGGAATAGAGGTGTACATCCATGGTGATGTTAGTCCAAAACCATGGTGATAGTCCAGAACTGTGCAGAAGGGGATTCCGGTGGTGACAGCGTAATTTGTGTCTAGTCCGTGGACGTAACCTGGTGGTCCAGTGAGGAATTCAAGCGAACAGTTTGGGGAAGGAGAGGAATGAAATACAGTCACCCCCTTGGTCTGTGTTAGAGCAGCGCTATCGGCTGGATGAAGTTCTGCATTAGCCCAGCCAAAGTACTGGACGAAGCAGAACGTGAAATTTGGACTGATGTAAGAGACTGCAAAAGCCTCAGAAACGCCCATTTTCAAAGCCCCTCACAGCTCTGGTCCCTTGCAGATACTACACCCCTCCCTTTGGTTGCCGGGTGGTGTTCAGCCCCGTGAAGTGCAGGGTCGTCTGGTCCTGAGCGATAGAGGGAGGTGGGTACGTGAGCTCTGAGCGTGCACCTTATCTGCTGTTGGACGGGCACATGCCGCAGAGTGGTGTTGGATAGGGGCCAGGATGCCCTGTACCTTGTCAGGGGATGGTGGTGGCTGGAAAAACACAAGACCCGGATGATTGGAAATGCATGCATATAACATTAGTTACGAGCATTGGGTGATGCGGAGAGTTTTTAGACTGCTGTGAGCATCTCCTCTCTTTCTGTTTAGTCTGTCAGTACTCTGGTGATCTGAATTACTTAATATTAAAAAAAAAAAACAAAAAACCAGCAACAACCACAAAGGAGCACAGAACAATCTCCCTCCCCTTTTTTCCCTCCCTCTAATTAATTGCACAATTCCTTTCCCTCCACTATAGATCAGATGAAGGGTTTCAGGTGGATGGGGTTTTTTTTTGTTTGTTTGGGTTTTTTGGGGCACCTGCTTGCTTTATCGCTTTTGTGCAAGATGGTCTCAAGTTCAAGAGAAAAATTGTCAACAGCTGTCATTTACTAACCTTTTGCATCTGCATCTTCGCCTTCTGGTTTCTAAAATTGAAAAAGAAACGTTTTAGTCCAAAGAAACTACCAAGGCACAGCTTAGTAAAGAAAATGCTGCAGCAGTGTGCTGCTGGTGTTTGCTAGCAAGTTGTCATCTGTCTGTTTGCATCTGCCTTAAGAGTAGCAGCAGGTAAACCAGGCTTATTTCCCTCTCTGGCGAGGAAGGCCGTGCAGGCAAGCTGTGCTGCAGCTCACGTTCAGTCAACTTAGTATTTTAACGATTAAAGACTGTTTTCACGTGAGTAACGTCAGCAGGGTCAGCCTGGGCACATTGACAGCGTATTATATTTTGCTGGCTGGCTCTTTGGAAAGTTACTGAAAATTTATTGGCAGCAATTATGTCTGCAGCAGGCAAGCGGCACAGATTGCACCCAGGCTGCAGCCAAGCTTATATACGGGTAGCTGAGATCTTGTCTTCCCATAATGTGAGCGTGTTATCAGTCGTGGTTACCCTCTGATCCTCTTCACTGCTATTACAAATGTGCTATGGGATATGAGGATATACTGAGCTTTACCTTTAGTCAGCATATATTAAAGCCACTCATTTTGGTAGAGCTAGGCTGACTAACATCAGTTGTGGATCCGTCGCACTGAATAACGTTCTTCCCCGTTGTGTCACCCATGCCGTTACTTCAGGATGCGTTCAGCAAAATACAGTGTAGAGCCACTTATTTTAGCACAAAAGACATAATGTGTGTCTTGAGGGAGAAATCTGTCCTTGTGGCTTCGTGCTGCCCGCTGCAGAAATTAATTGCAGCAAATGGCTTTTCACTGGCAGTCCAAACCAGCATTAAGAGGCAAAAATAAGTAAGTAAATGGCTGAGCAGTGTTTGTGGTTGGATGACGCTGCAGGTCACCGGAGAATCCTGAAGCACGTGGGGGCTCTTGGCTCCTATTGGCTTCAGAGGGAATTTGGATCCACTACACTGCATCTTCCCTTGGGAAGGAGGATTTCTGGGGCTGGCTCTTTACCAGTTACTGCTGGTCGCACTCTGATGTTACCCCTGAACTCTGGCTGTGGCTCGTCAATGGTTTTTCTTGTGTTCCTTCCTATGTCTGTGGACTTCATTAGTGTTTTTCAGGGCTGCTAAGTCGTCTCACAGCCAGCTTTAGGCTGAGGGGTCAGTAAGGATCTAGTTATGTTAATTCGGTGGTAAAACATTTCACAGCGTTCCACACAAATGAGCTGAAGCAATTAAATTAAATGGAAATGATTAATGAAACTGGTATAGCTTCCGCGTGTAGCTGGGCACCTGCCCCACGTGAAAATGGCTTTTTGTGAGCATTAAATTGGTTTAAATATATTTGCATTCACTGCTTGTTCAAATAATTAGAGGTGTTTCAGACGTTGTTTCACCTACAGACTTTTGCATTCCTGGAGATTTTACCATACTGCTTTAACTCTGCCAGTCTCTAAATCTATGTCGTTAAGTTGCTAGTTTGGCTATAGCTCAAGCTGCCAATAGGACTCTTGGCATTTGAATTTGCAAGTCCCGTGCTGAAGTATATTTATTCCATTTCATCAAAATGCTTTGGGTTCTGGTATGTTTATCCTTGATGCACTGATGAGGCTGGAGCCTATATCGTTTGATGGAGTAAATTTTCTCTAATCTGTTGTCTTATAGTGTAGAAGTTGATTATTTCTCAGGCTAAATCTAGAGATGGGGTGAATATGGAAACAGATTTCAAAAGTGGTCCTCCCTTTGGGTTCCCTGCATCCTGGTTAGCTCATGCCTGCATAAGGGGAATAGCTGCAGCACGTCCCTTCCCCTGAAGGACAGAGCCGTGCTCTTCGGTTTCAGGCTAGAGGGCTATCTGTGGGATGGGGGCTAAGCGCAGGTCTCTTACTTTGACACAGAGTGATGGTGATCACCAGGGCAGTGAGGAGGAGAAGACAGCCGCAAGCCAAGGGAACCCAGATGAAAATGTCACAGAAGAAATTCAGTCCTTTCTGCTTGCTTGTCTCTGCAGGGATAAAGGAGAGAGAAGAGGAGATGTCCACTAGGCGCTCGGGACGGGTGTTACGGCCAGCGCTGGTGGAGGTGTGCAGAGACCCTCAGCCAAGGGACCCGGCCTGCTTTCAGCGAAGCTGATGTTAGCTGTAGGTGAGGCAGAGGGCTTCCCTGTCCCGCAAGGGAGGGTTGGTCGCCAAGGGGTCCACAAGCACAGCCCATGTGTCGTCCCGGTTCCTGGGGACCTGAGGGAGGGCGCGTAACCTAATGTTTTCTTGCGTCCCCTGCTGAGGCTAAAGCGAGCGCCAGCCCGCAGGGCTCTGACCTCCTTCAACCTCTCCCTCTTCTCAGTGTGCCCAGCCGTGAGATGCATGCTAGGGCTTTTAAAGTCATCCTTAGCCTTTCTGGAGTGGAGTAAAACAGGGGCTTGAATTTTAATCTTATCTGTGTGTACCTCATGATCCAACTTTGATAAAGCTTAAAGGATCTTCCCTCTCCCCCCATTCCCAAAATGCCTTTAGCCAGTACAGGCTTTGCACTTGGCTCTTCAAACCCAAAACACCACTGTTGGCCTGGAAAAAATGTAGGACAACAGCATGTGGTCTTGCAGCAAGTGCGGAGGATCCCCTGTATGTGGGCTGAGAAAGGCCCAGCAGAGCCTGGCTCCTTCCCTCTCCCTCCCTGCAGCTCCGTTACCTGGTGCGGGCGTCTTTAGGCAGGTCTCTGTCTTGGTGAGGCTGCCCTGGGTGGTGGGTGCAGCTGTGGTGGGTGCCTTTGTGGTTGGGACTGCAGGCGAAAATGGAGGAATAGGGAACGTAGTGAAACACAGAAAAACCAGCATGCTCTCTACCTCTCCTTTGCTCTGCCACCGCTGCCAGAACAGGACCCAGCTTCTGGTAACTTTGCATAGCCCATTTTGGACTGTGGCTCCCCCATAACAACACTCCCGTGAGTGGGATTTCCCAAGATCATGGCCCAGAAACACACTGCAAGAGCTGCAGTCTCCTTATCTCTTCTTTTCTGCTACAACCCCTACAGCATCTGAGTCCCATCTTATCAGTAGCTATCAGGAAAAGTGTACTGAAAGCCAGGATGACCTCTCAAGTATGACCTCTGCTTTGCTTGTGATTTTCTTTTTAAGGTGCTGAAAGTACTTTGAGGTTGGGAGGACTTCTAGGGCCTATGCAAAGTGGGGAAGGAGGGGGTGGTTGTGGACTTACTTTTAGTCCTATGCCTTCTGAGCTGTGAATGGAGTGGGAAGGTGACCCTGGGTCCGTCCGATCATCTCTGCCTCTGGGCAGGGACAGTACCACAGTTGGTTGTATAGACCTTGCACCCTATTTGAGGATTCCCAAACCCTGATAATATGAGTGGTCAGTGAAGATGAAGAGAAAAGGGGATGTAGCACACACAGGAGGGCTGCAGAGATGTTCACCAGAAGAGCTGGTGAGTGGAGAGCCTCCAGCAGAAGGACCAGTGTATTGATTACAAGATGCATTGGGCAAAGAGGCAGAGGAGATGGGGTTTATGGGAGATGGTTCTGATTAGAAAAGGCATGGACAAGGGCTGTTGGGGGTTTTGGCAGAGCAAACAGAAGTGGGCAAAGATGTTGCTGACCTGGGATGAAGGCAGGCTGGCCGTTGCTGAAATGCAGCATTTGGTTGCTGTTAATGAGGCAGAAATAATTTCCCTGGTCCTGCACCGAGAAAGACTTTATGACCAGTCGGTAGAAGCTGCTGTCTCTCATTGCCTGAAAGCGTGCAGATGTTCCCATGTTCCCTATAAAGGTCGTCCGAGACAGGGAAGAAATGAACACGATGAAGTGAAGGGTGCCATCCTTGTCCTGGCGCATCCAGGATACCCCACTGTCCCTCTCGGTAGGCAGACACTCCAGCTCCAGCCGCTGCCCCAGAATGGGGTGTGTGATCTTGCTGTCCCGAAACCTGGCTGTCATCTTGTACTTCTGGCCCTGGATCCCACAGCAGCCTGCAGAAGAGAAATCTCGTCTCCCTTCACAGTCCGCTCGCCCTCAGCGAAACCACTTGGAAAAGCCGTGTCCCTTCTGGACGAAGCATGGGATCTGCCTCTTGGGGCTTAGTCTTTGTGGAAAACCTTTTTCCTTGCTAGTTAGTGCTACGCAGAAACACGGGGTGTGGAGTAAAATGCCAAGGGAGGACCACGCCATCTGGCTGACTTAAATATTTCACTTGAGTCCTTGCTGAGAGCATGCTTAGAAGGTACTCAGCAGTCACCCACCCAATCTTTAAAGACAGATCCTCCCATTCAGAGAAACCTTTCAGGTGCCTTCTCTGGAATGGTACCGTATCCCAACTTATTTAAAGTGACTCCCTAATAATGTTGACTGCTGAAAGCCCCATTTCCTCCCTTTTTCCCTCCCTTCCAGAAAGAGTCATCTGGCTGGGCTCCGTTACCCATGGTGTAATGCCAGAGCTACACTGCTCACTGCTCTGCACAGATGGATTTGAGACTTTCTGTACCTCCACTTCACGCGTTTACCAAGCAAACCTGAAAGTTAGTCTTTCTGGTCTGCTTTTTTTCCCCCCCTTTTGACTTTTTTTTTCCAGTTTATTGGATTCAGACAAAAGGGGAACGTCTTAACCTCTCGTTTTACTTTCTGCTCCCGGACAAGGTCATATACCGCCTTGCTTCCATACTTACCGAGACCCAGACTGAGCAGAAACAGCAGCGGAGTTCTGGCCATTTGCTCCTAGTGGTGACCGTCCTCAAGGGTGGTGCAGCGGCACAAAGATGATCTTTCTAGGTTGACTTCGGAGACTGTAGTTTTTTGGAGAGGATGTGACGTCATCAGGACCCTCTTATGTAAGGAGACAGTTCTAAGCATCTAAGGCAGAATGAAGTATGAAAAGATTTCTGAAGAAATTCAGCTTTAAATCAATATTTGGGCTCATTTACCTTTTTTTTTTTTTCTTTAAAGGAGTCTCAAGGATTTTTGCCTTGACCACTTTACTAGAGAGTAATACTGACAACACTTGTGCTTGAAATGGGATCAGCCACCGTAAATTGCCGTCTCCCAGTCGTTTGGGGGATTTACATCATGTCTAGCTCTGCAGGAAACATGAAAATGTCCCATGCCCTGATGCGGACCCCAAATTGCATTTCTTGGCAGAGTGTGCTCTGGAGTGGTCTAGTGTGGACATGAGAGCACGCTGTGTCTTATTATACAGCAAAAAAGTCCACAGTGGTATTTTACAGCATGTATCCATACATATATATTTTTTTAAATCTCCAAGAGATTTGCTGACATGCAGGTTGGCTCCTCTGGTGCCTTTGCTCAGTTGTTCCCTTTTCAATTGTTCTTTGCAATTTCTCTGCAGAAGTTGCTTTGTGCAAAGCAGATGGTCTGTGTAATGTGAAACCCATCAAGAAAGCCCCACGTCCCAGTGGTATGCCTTTTTTTAACATTTTGAGGTTTTCTTCTGCAACCACAGTGACTTCCGCCCTGCCAAATAAACCCTTACACTCTTTGACACATGGCGCCCTTGCTGCTGTCTCCTGGTGACCACTTGCACAGGGGTAGGGGTTTATACTTCCTGCAGCTCTGCACAGCACAAGAGCAACTTTTTCACCACACCAGAGAGGCTTTGGGCTGTTGTATTCTTTCCTTCTTATTTTGGTCCCTCCTGCTTTTCCTGCCTATTTTTTGGGGGTTGTTTTTTTTTTCTCTGAGCGAGATGTTGTTCTGTTACCCCTTTGCAAAGAAAGACCCCCCCCTTTCCTGGGCACATCAGAGACCAGGCCCTGCCAACTTTGATGCGACTGCTGTTGTGGCTGCTACTTAGAGACGATGGTTGCGAGCGAAAGAGCTGGTTTAGGCACTGGGTTTATTTCACTGGGCATCAAAGCATCTGGAGGGAGTGAGGGAAGCTGCTGTTGGGCCTGCTAAGACCTGGACAATGCATGTCTTCGTGAGGCTGTGAGACTACTGATGACTGCCTGAGTGGAACAGATATTTGTAAAATGAAAGAGAACATCAATTTCGTTAAATAACGTTGCAAGGATTCAGATCTAGAACTCCTATCAAGCAGATGTGAACTTCAGACTTGAGGGGAAAGTCATCTCTTTACTAACGCCAAGTTAGGCTTTTCTATTTCTCTTTTCAGCGGGTGGTTTACTCTCCTTATCCGAAGTAGAATTCACACTTCTCTTAAAATGGGATAAAGTGCCTTTTGGAAGTGTCTGTCCTCACTTACTAATGCAGGAACCTAGACAAGCAACTTAAGCTACATGCCTGCCTTTTAGATGCCTGAAGTTGGATCTCATGTTTTCGGAGATGCTGAAGTGAGTTGGTTCCTACCTTACATCAAGACCCCCCCCGCTTGCACCACTGTTACAACTCTGTGACACAAAAGCAAAAGTATTTCACAAATATTTTAAAAAGTACAACCCACCAAGGGCCAAAGTAGGAATATTGATGGTTCTCTTTATTCAGTGTGGTTTGGATGAAAGCAAACCTGTTGGCAGATGTTTAATTTCTGGAGGACATGTTCTTTGCAACGCAAAACAGGGAGACTCAGTGTTTATCAGAACTAGATTCTCGCTCTGCCCAAGTGCACTCTGCCATGCCTATACTGTGGAGTTAATATCCTCAGGTATATGGTGATGGGAGACCTATATAATTAGAATAAAGGATAACCTAGTGAAGGCTATTGCCTTTTTTTTTTTTTTTACTAGGGATATCTTCCTTCTCTCCTTTCTATAATGAACAATATATTTTGTTTATGAATCAGTCTCCAGATACCAAACTGGAGCCCAGTGGCTCCTCTCCTAGGTGCAGAGGGACCCCGCAGCTCACTGCTCGAACTGGTTTCCCTGTGAGACCACCCTTTCCTGTGCCATGTTTAGACCCTGAGTGCTATGCTGGAGTTCAAAGGACTCCTTTTGATATTTTTCTTTGCTGAAGTGCTTTATGACTTTCCACTACAGGAAAGATGCCTTCAACCCCCATCTCTTTTGCTGCCTGCTTGCTGCATTGCACGGGTCCTGTCGAGGGGAGCCTCGCTGAGGCACAGGAGATGGCATTAGGGGGAGCTATTCCTTTATACAGTAAGCTCCTAATGAATATACCCCTTTAGGGCAAGACAAAAGGGTATTGTCAGTAGAGAGCTAGAGATCAAACCAGGCTGTCATACATCTCTTTCCAACACGGACGCCCTTCGTGGGCCAGAAGAGGAGCCGGGGAAGTGTTGCTTCCATGGAGAAGTCTGTGTCTGATTGCCTGAAACCACCCTTTTTATGCACTTCCATCTCTTGTGTCCTAAATAATACATTCGCTGGGGCGGGTATCCTGTATTTTTGGCCCTGTGTGTATATATCGCTCAGCACAAAGGGGTTTCTATAGTAACAAGTAAGTACAACTAAAACAGTGGCGAGGGTAGTTATTTGAGTATGAAAAGCTGCAGGCACAAACAAGACCTCTAGGAAAAGCTGTACTTTCAAATCTGCTCCTGTATAAATAATTTAGATCAGCAGCACAGTGGTGCGCTCTGATCTCAGCTATATTGGGGCCAGTGTGCTGCCGTGCTGAGGGGTGTAAATCTGGTGAGACTGGCCCCGTCAGGTCTGTGTACGTGCTTTGAGGTCCCTTGTTGTAATGCTGTGAATCTCATGTTGAATGCAAAGAATGCAAATCAGTCCGGCAGCTTCAACTCAGCAGAAAGTATACGTGTATTTTACACTGGTCACCTCCTCTGGAATGGGTGGTTGAGATGGTTAATGAGATTAATTTGATTTTAGCCCGCTCTAGTTTGGCAGTTTATCCTCTAGATGATGCTCTGCAGTAGACTTGTCGTTGTTAGACTGAGGGCCAGACGTCAAATCAGCAAAAGCTAGTGTTAATAACATGTTTTTATTAATAATTTCTGTTGCAGTGCCACAGTTATGATATGACTAAGGAAGAAAAGACAATTTGGACAACCAGTTACTTCTACAGAACATTTTATAAGAGATGTGAACGGATCAGACAGATTGGTTAGACAGTAGACGGTAATTTTTTTTTTCTCCCGTACCTACCAATAGGTTTCATTTTACTTTTGGGTTCGGTCGCAGGTCTCTGACTGCTGGTGAACTCTAACCTATGTTGCTTATGACTGAGACTGAATTATTATATACTAAGGCCAACCTGGATTAATTTGTGATGTTCCAGATCCACTTGTTCTCAGCTTCTTTGCTCCTTAGCCCTGCTGGATCCTCACCTGCCAAACCAGTGATTGCCAAGAGCACTGGTGGGGTGTCAGTCACGCCATGACATAACACAAACTTGATCCGGATGTGGTCATCTCACGTGCAAAGATGGGGTGGGAACAGTAAAGGAGAAAAGCAGCATATCAGTGTGTGGGATCTTTCCCTTCATTGCAGATAGAATTGTTTTCCCAGGATCCAAGCAAGTTTGTAAAACAAAATTGAACTGATTTTGTAAGAGAGACAAGATTGGGTGGTGGAGGTGCAATTATGATTAGAGCCACTGATAGAGTTGGAAAACAGAGATGAGCTTTCAGGTACGCAAGTCCTTTCTGCAGTGAGAAACAGGAACAGCAAGGTTTGCGGTATGTAGAAGTTGGGGGGATTTGATCTCTGTTTAATTTATTTATATGTCAACAACTAAACAGAAGAAGGTGTGAGCAAAGGGAGAGGAGACAAAGTCACATGGGGAAGAGACAGACTGACAAGGGCTAGCGTCTTTGGGATGGGGCTTGGCAGGAGGTGAGTTCAGGATCAGTTTTCTCTGTACTTGCTGAGGAGATTTAAGTTGGTAAAGCCAGGGGAGATTTCCCAACATGGACCAGGACACAGATTTACGGTAATGCTAATATATTCAAGAGTGGGCTTTTGAATGGGGGTCATCTCGGTTTTTGGAAACATTAGTGGGGTTGCATGGGTTATCTATTAAGTCTCTCTCCCTGCTCTTACAGAAATTGTAAATTAAAGGAATCAACACTTCTTTGAAGTAGTTAAAAATTACATCCCTTTAACAGAGAAGACACTGGAAGTGAGAGGGCACTTGCGGTATCAGATATGCTGAGTTTTGGGTATGACTGATGTCTTAGCCATTTTATGGAAGAATCAATTATGCAGCGAATTTTTTGTAGCAGTAACAATCTCATCAGCTGAGTGGTATGGCTGTCCTATAGGAGTGTGTGCCTGGTAGCAGGAGCCTGTCTCAGGGCATGGAGTTACATTGTGATGGTCAGGAGACACAAGAGGAACATCACAATGACCACGCTCTCTCAGGTCAGTCATTTCTGCTGCTAATGGTATTTCGCCAGAAGGCTTGAAAAGAAGAAAACCTCTGTTCCAACAGCTTAAGCGACAATACAACATTGCTTATGAGGAGCAGGTGCTTCTCGAGCCCTGCAGATGATCATGTTGCGGTAACCCAGAGTGTGACGTTTGATTGTGTTTATTTCAGCCGTGCTGATTCTTCCTGTTGTTAACATTAAAATCATTCCTGAAGGGTCTTGTGATGAGAGAGGAATGGAGAGTTTTAATGAAGAATTTCAAAATTCAGTCTCAAATCGCAATCTTTTGTTTTGAACGAAGGAAAAAGAATTTTGACACTATAACATATGACTTATCCGGTGTGAAATAGAGCTGTGGTTTATGAGCAGCTTGCTGCCCCCTTTTCTTTGCAAAGCTGCAGCACTGAAGGGTTTGGAGAATGTCAAATGTGACTGTCGCACTTTAGATAGTCACACAGTCTCTTTCCACTCTAGCTGTATGTTTCCAATACAGTGGCCAATTCCGTCACT